ATAACCTCACCGCTAAACACGGGTACCTCTTAACGCTAAACCCCTAACGGTAAGAGTCTCCTACAAGGGTCTATTCGGGGTCACAAGGGATAGAGTTAAGTGTTATGCTAGGCAAGAAAGGGATATATAATACCTTTATTAAATCTGAGAGGTTTATTTTCGAGCGTTTTGAATTAGAAGCTTAAAATTATGTCTCTAAAGCTGCTAATAAGCAGAAAAAGAATACTAAATACCTTAGTTTTAAAGTAAGTATTAAGATAAGCTAGCAAAAGCCTTAACTCTATATTATTAAAGATAAGCTAGATATAAATTACGTTAATAGAATAATAACAAAGCTATAAATAACTTATAATTATATATCTTAAGCTTCTTTATATATTACTTTAATTATAAATTTTAAGGCTAAAGATTAGCCTAATAAAGATAGCATTTCTATATATAATAAGAAGGACTTATCATCTATAAGTTCTTATAAATAAGCTTATAATAAGACTAAAACTGCTTTAAAATTAAAGAAGTTATAAGAGAGTACTTTAACATATTAATAAGTAGCTAAGGCGGCTTTCTATACTATTATACTAAACCTAGCTATTAAGATTAGTTGTTAGCACAAGTATAATTAATCTAACTATCTAAATAATAGCTATTATTATTATAATTTCTTTTAAATAAGTTATTTAAAGCTTAATATAGTTAATATTTATAAGTAAAGAAATACTATAAAGAATAACTCTATTATTAATATTTATTATCCTCTTTTAGAGGTATTAACCTAATTAATTAAGGGTTATAAGAAGTAAAAGAAGCAGAATTAATAGCTTTCTATTACTCTATAGCCTTTAATATTTATTATAGCTTTATTAATAATAATTAACTAAGAGATAATGCTTAATATTAATTTCTTAAGGGGTCCTTTGCTAGCTACTCCTATTTATAAAAACACAAATAATAAGGCTTAAGATATAGATATAGAGACCCTAGTTTCATCTACTATAATATTAGCATCAGTACTACTCTTGCTAAGTAGCCTTATTCTATAGGCTAGAGATAAGGATGCCTAACTACTCGCCTTTATTTAGGCTTAAATTCGTACTTAGCTTATGCGTTATACTATATTTAATTATGTATAAGACCTGCTAATAAGTTCTAGCATAAGTTTTTCAGATTTAGCTAGTTTAAGCAACAAAGAATAAAAGAATATTAGTATTAATATTAATATTAAGATGGATTTACTAAAAAACAACAAGATATAGTATCTATAGTATCCGGAGGCTATTAACAAGATTGCAAAGCATCTCCTAAGTAAGCTTAATCTTAATATACCTGAGGAGAGCAAAGACAACAAGCTCTAAGCTTATAAATAAAGGATAATTAATGTTAAGGAATATATATCCTATATACTAATAATGAATTTACTTTCTTTTAGCATCAAAATTACTTAGTATATAGAAATCAAGTAGAAATCAAGTAAAAAGCGCTAGTAAGCAGCACTAATAAGCTATTATTTTGCTATTAACTATAATATAGCTTGAAACAAGGTCCTTTTATGTATAGAGATACATTACAGCTTCTATATCCTTTGTACATTATCTTTGTACGCTTAGAAGCAACGTAATTAATGATTTCTGCTAGCGCTAGCCTATTGCTCTTCTCCTCCTCTTAAGTATTCTTTTTATACTATATATAGTATTGATACTTCTTTAAGGGCTGCTAGCTATAGCCTTAAGTTGCTTAATTAAGTAGAGGCATAGGCTTGCTTTTATAGTGTTACTTAACAGGCACTAGCATTTTAATAAGGTAGGGCATATTAAAAAGGGCATTAATAAATGCTTTTCAAAACAGGTATTAGCCTTTTTTTTTTTATATCTATTATATCCCTCTTCTAAATAAAATAGCTATTAATTGCGCAAATATTAAATATATAATATTATAAAGGGTATTAAATACAATATTTATAAGGTCTATAAGTAGTAAAGTTCTTTTATAA